TACATGTACATGTACTTTATGACTTTACATGTACATGTACAGTATTTAAATGTAATCTGATTTTTTACACGAGGAGTGCTGTGTGCTGGTGGGAAATCAAGGGGAATGCCATCTTTATTGTGTGAAATTTTTAATTTTCACTAAATTAAAAAAAAATGTTGGAATTTTTGCAGAGTATTTTCCAGCAATATTTGTTTGTTTTCTTTGGAGAGGGAGTAAGGTACACATGTAAGGGTGGGCAGATGGTTTGCATGCATAGTTTCTTATGCTTATTTAGGTATGAAACAAAATTTAAATTTCTGAAGTGGAATTTGGGATTTGGCGAAAAGGAAAATAACCATTTTTTGAAATGGAAAATCATATAGCAGATTCATTCTGTCTTTCATATCCCAAAACTCGTTACTAGAGCAGGTGATCACACCTTTACTGTTGTTGCAACCAAATAATGCAAAAAATTGCCCACTTGCATTAGGAATGCCAACTCTGTTAACAAATTTAAAAAATCACTGAAATCATATCTTTTTCCTCTGTATTTGTACTTTTTAGCTGTTACATGTAGTTAATAATAAGTATTTATTTTGTCGTGTGAAAGATGAGGTACAATGCAATAGGATTTTTGTCGTGATTGTAAATGCTGTGATTTACACATAGTACAAGTACCTGTATATGAAGAAATGCACCGTACAGTGCACAAATACATGTACATGTATATTAGTATTACAAAAATGATAGAGACAAAAATGTACTTGTAATTACAATGTACATGCACACTGCACCTTTTTTAGAGAGGTGGTTTGTACCAAAGTACATACATGTGATCAAAAGATTCCTTTCAAAAAGCTGTTGAGTACACGTAACCATTGTGTTATTGCAATTTCAACACTGACCTCCAATAAGCAGTGACTATGAGTCATGGGTTAATTGTAGGCCAAAAGAGCATTACCTGTGTATAATAATTGAAACTTAAGTCCCAAATGATCATATTAAAACGTCAAAACACAGACAGTCAGATAACAGATGCTCCATGATGTCATCCCACCTGAAAAACCAGACAAAATGGCAGATGAAAATGTTCACATGAAATGCTTTTTAAGTGGCAATACCACCCCTTGAAACCGAGATGTACTGGGGGTACCAGTATTTTGTTCTTGGTCAGCTATATTTTGTTGACGATTGGGCCATTGGAGCTGCATAACATGTATGCTAGTAATGAGGAGAAAATGGACAAAATGATTGGTACTGAATAAGAGAAACATCGTTGTACACCTGTCATGCCAGCGTGCATGTTTGTATAGGCCTACCCAGTGACTCAACGCAGAGAGTTGGTGAAGTTGAACCTGATCCAATATTTCCACTTTGAAGGAAATTTCCTCATTTTAAGGAAATTTTCATGTCTTTAAAGGAAAATCTAAATTCTGAAGGAAAGTTTAGAAAAAATTTCAAGAATACAGAAAAAATCATGAAAAAGTAGATTTCGGTTGTGTTCCAATGAAAAAAAAGGCAAATTCAGAACAAGGATTGGATGTATGGTATGTATCTTATGTCGCTTCTTGCCCTTGGGATAAAAGTTGCCATCCTAAACCACGTTTAGCAGCAGTGTTCGTGCAGCTGTTTGACTGGTTCCCATCAGTGGTCTAAGCCTGGTGTATGCAGCACGATTCATTTTATGAAAAACAGAGTGAATTCAAATGCACATTATTTATGGACAAAATGAGAAAAATTCATAGAAAAATTAAGGAAATTTCAGAAAATCTCCGGAAAAAAATCCAATCTAAGGTGATTTAATTTTGAGGAATGAAACACTGACCTGATCCAACTTTCCTGACTGTCTGTGCTGATTTTAGCGTTAGTCAAGATGAAGTGTTTCCATATTACTGTGCATCATCAAGGATTGATTGGTGGAGCTCTCTGCTTCTCTTTATGTTGATACGGAAATCAGGCTTAAGAGCATTAGTATTGGCTCGTTATTTTCTGTTTTTTCTTCTGGATGTAATGACACACGTTTAAAGTGTAAACCTGAGCAAAATTTGTGCACAGTGTTGGAAACACAATGTGGACTGTCCGTTTTTTGTTTATTCATGTACTTGTACATGTACATGTAGCTCTCCACTAGACCTACATGTACATGTTGATTCACATGTTAGTACCCATAAGGGCATTTTTCATGAACTTTGAATATGAATTTTTTTAGGGTAATTAAAACAGCCAGATGTAGAGAAATATCTAATTTGGTGAAATGACAAATTGTACAGGCATCTTCACTTTTCAAACAATGTCCTGAACCAGGCATAGAAAACAGTATTGAATATTCACATGCATATCCACATGTACTGTGCACCGTATACATGTACATGTATGTGCAAGACTACAAAATTAATTCCAGCTGCCCTGGAAAATCATTGCTAGATTTTGTCTCTAATTTATCAAATTATGCATACTTATAAGCAGCACATCTTGGAATGTGTCAACTTGAGCTCCATGGGTTCAGAGCACACATGTACATGTATGTTGTTGGGTCTGCACCAACATGTACCGGTATGGTACATTTTGTGGGGCTAAAAATGCAACAGGGACAATTTTTTGCCCTCTCAGTGCAATCCTGATTTCCTAACAAAAGAAATTATCCTTTAACCACTGAGGGACTACATGTACCCACTCAGCACACCATGTATGCAGTATACATGTAGTTAAAAGGTTTTGTGTTGATCTGTGTGTACATTTTGTATGTGTAGGCTGTGGACTAATTGGAATTGGGGTTAGTTCTTCACATGATGGGAGTGGAAGTACATGTACATCTACATATCATGTAGGCAAGAAGGAAAGGTACTCATATTTTAAAACAGAACATGTTTGAAACATCAAATGCATTTCCCAAAATGGAATGCAGTTTTGCAGACCTAACATGGTTATATGGTCTGCTGTTACATGCATTTCCAAAACTGAAAATTACATGTATTCATGTAGAATATACCTATTCCATGTTTTTTATAATTTGGATGCATTTTCCCCTGACTTTGAATGGGACACATACTGTACAGTGCATTTGAAAGTGAACACTGTGAATTGAAGTGGGAAATGTGAATAGAATTTACTTCCACATTCATACTTTCAGTTCACCAGGTGTTAAAAGAATTTCCCACTTGTGTGAAAGTGTAAAGTTCTTTTATCACTTCTGTGAAAATGTACGACAATTCTTTTTCCACTTGTGGGAAAATCTGTGATAATCTTTTCCCACTTTTGTAAAAAAAAATTCACAATAGAAAGGTTTTCACGGTTTGTGAAATGAAATGAATTCCCTGGAATGAGAAAAAGTAGGAAGAGAATTTCCCATTTTCGGGTTAACTTTCAGTTGGCACTGTTCATCACAGACATGTACATGTATCTCATTTCATGCAAATTTTAAAGCACTCGATATTTGTACATGTTGATGTGATATACGGTACTGTTAAGGTCACTTTATGGGGTGATGTCTATTCACACAGCTTGAGGAGTGTTGTTCAGTGGCACAGTGACTGTTGTTCAGTGGTGTGGTGTGTATTTTTCTGCACAGCGCAGTGTAGGTGCAGCTTGTACCTGATAAGCGTGTGTAATACTTACATGTATGGTGTAAATATCAGTTTGTCATCAGATCTTCATTTTGTACAGGTTTTACATTAAGTTGTAACTGTAATACCCTGTTGTTTTATTATTAAGAAGAATCATTTTGATGGCATGATTCTGTGCTTTCATTCATTGTTACTTGTGTCAACTGTCTGGTTGAATTGAATACCTGGCGGTATTCAATATCAAGATTTGTGGCATTTTAAACCAGACTATCAACCCAGTGGGTCTTGGATTTATTTCCCTTTCTTATTCAGATATATTTCAGTTAAAAGATATTTGTTACAAATTTACATTGTCAGTTTTTTATGTTGTAAGGACAGCCGTGCACTGTGTGACTGCACTGTGCCTACCACGATTCAAAAAGATTATAAATTTTGTCATAAGAAATGTTTATAATTCACACTTCAGCATACTTTGTTTTGTTCTGTGACAAAGCATTTTGAGAACACACTCTTGACGATACCGATATTTAAATTTTTAAAATGAAGTGT